AGGAGGCCTGGTGGCGAGCGGGATATCTCTGTTAGTTGTCAGCGCAGGTCCATGGGTTAGGAATGCTAATGAGCCGCTTGGCCAGCTCAAGACTTGGTTCTCTCTCGCACACCCTGACGCTCACACACACTCGGGCTCCTGCATGCCGACTGACAAGCACACAGAGCCTCGTGCTCCATCCTGTCTCTCTCCTTTTTCCTCTGAGCCCAGAGATCGATCGCTGACCCCACTGTTGGGCCAACGCTTTATTTATCTGACTGCGCAATGATATTATCAGCCTTAAACGTTATATACAGCAAATGTCCTCCTAAATCAACACAATAGGATAGCTTGCAGAGACCAGCCTGGTCTGTCTTAAAGAAATCCCTGGCTATCTCTCTTTCTCGTTCTCCCTCTCCCCTTCCTTACAGACACCCCTTCTCCTTTCCACCTTTACAACTACTGATATTTTATACAATGGACTTGGGGATTTGATCCCTTGCTTTCAGCTTGATTGGAGGAGGCCTTAGCAGACTAGGAGATGGATAGACACCATTATCCACCCATCACTGTGATCTCCATCAGGGGTTCCCTTGTCAGCCGGATCCAACTGCCTAGACCCACTCTATTCACATGACCCGGATTTCTCAAAATTGGGGTAGAAGAGAAGGCGAGGGGTGGAGAATCGAGTGTGCAACCTTCCACTGTGTTAATTGTTTTCTTTCCTCTCAATTACATTCATAAACCTATTTTCTGCATTGCATGTTATTTCTTTGTGCTTCAAAATTGAAACCACGTGCAGCCTTCTTCCCTCCGCACACACAATAAATGCGCTGCCCCCTCCCCCCAACCCATCACACAACTATTTACATCTTGGTTACTCACTCTGCGCTCCGGCCCAGCCTGGGAGAAGAAATTGGCCCCCTGGGATTAGGTGAGGCTTTGTAAAAGCATCTCTCAAATCTGTATCTCGGGCCCCCATCTGGGAGAGAGGCTCCTGGACTCCCCTCCCGGGCCTCCTCCCACCCCCTCCTCACACAGGTGGTTGCGGCTTCCTCTGGGAGAGCTAGCAGGGAGGACATCCAGGGAGAAAGGCAGCTTCGCAGTGTCCCGCCAGGCCCACCCGCTGCCCGCCCCTCACCCTGGCCTTGTCGGGCCGCCCGCGGGGGGTCAGCGGTGGCCCCGAGAGCGCCTCTGCTGCCCCCTGGTCCATGCGCCCTGGGCACAGCAGAAAGCCCCGCAGGGACCGGCTGCTCCCTGGGGAGCGTTCTAGACCCAGGTCCTCCCAGGCAAAAAAAGTCCCACCAAAAATAAATAAATAAACTCCAAAGGGGGGGAGGGGGAGCTGGAAAATGGATTCGCTGACAAGGAGAGATAATAAATGAGAGGCGCTTTCAGATAGATATCTCAGACGTGAAATTGCGCCCAGCTGGTTGTGTAAGCAAACAAATAGTTTCATGTTAGGAACTCTCAACTTGTGGCTTGATGAATAGAACACGACAGAGGTAAATGGGTCTTTAACTCATTTAGGAATACAACTCTTTGGCTTTCCAAGTAAAAGGCCCAGTGACGCCACGGATCCTGAGCAGGCCCTCTAACAAGAGTTTTATTAGTTTCCACTTGCGTCTCCCTGCCTACCCTCCCCAGTCTCCTTCATGGTTTTCCATTTGCAGAGACATTCAGGTGATTTGTTCTGGAGAATCGAGTAGCTTACCGGAGGTGATTCTGGCACTGGAGGAGATATAAGGACTGCCTATGAGCGGGGGAGGAGGATTTTTTAAAAATAAACTTTTTGCACTCTCTAAGCAGACGAGCTCAGGTGGGCTTGGATCGAAGAGGCTCCATAGCCCTAGTGCCCCTGACCTCAAAGCTTGGCGATGGGGCCTCGGGGAGCCCACCCAGACCCTTTGCGGCAGCCAGAGACCGCGAGGCTGAACCAACGTAAGGGGCAGAGTCCCGGAAGCCCAGGGTTGTTCTGGCGTCCCAAAGGCACGCCCATCGCCAGCCCCGGGGCTTCCCCCCCAGGCCTGGTCGCGGTTTGGGGTGTGCCTGTGGGGGCAGAGGCCACATTTTAACTCCCTTAGGCCACTCTTTGTCCCCTGGCTGCGGATGAGGCGCAGCCTCGTGCCCTAGAAATTCCCAGAGGAGAGCACGTCCTAAGATGGCTTTTTTGATGTTTTCAGAAAAGCTTGTGGCTAAAGTAGTTTAAACTGACTTCAAAGCCCCTAAAGTTCTCAGTCGCCCAGCAAGTGTTTGGGTTAGAAAGGGGAGCGTTGGCTTTCATATGTCACAGGTAATTTTGAGAGGGAAGTCACCTTGTGTGGGCCGCTCTCCAACAGTTATGATGTATTTCCTCCAGCCTTGGAGACCCTGTCAGTTCTATCCCGCCCAGTTAGCCCAATCCTATTCTCCCAACTCCTTAGGGCTGCTACGCCTCCGCAGGCCAAGGCGGGGCTGCGCGCCCCAAGGTGACCATCCAGCCTACACCTGCCTTCGGCCTCACACCCAAGTTCCACGGCTCCCCCTGGCGCTTGGCTCGAAAGCCGGCTCATTGCTCAGGGGCCTCTGGGCGGCCACCCAGGCAGGCGAGACTCCCACCCGCTCCATGTCGCCTTCTGTCCAGTGGCTTCCAGGGTCCGAGAGCGTGCAGGGCACTGAGCAGGGGCAGCCCGACCACTACTGGGGCTGCCCTTCTGCACAGCAAGGAGGCCGTGCGATGGCTTGGGGGCCCTTAGCTGTTGGGCCGCGGACACCGGGCAGTCTGGCTGGGGAGCCTTGAGAATGCTCAGGGAGCAGAGAGGGCGCTTCCTGGCTGTTGGAAGGCTTAACCCGTGGCTTAAATAGTGCAGTCTCGGCTCCTCAACCTTCCGTTAGCATGAGCAGATTTGTGGGTCCCACCTCGCGCTCTGAGAATGAAAAGCCACGAACTGTCTCGCGCCCGAGGGAGCACCCACAGAGCCGCTGAGTCTCTGGGGAGGCTCTGTCTCTCTGCTTGAGACACATAGAGACCTCTGAAGACGAGTGTAATGCTACCAAGGAGACAGCACAGGAGAAACCCACTGCCTGCCACCCCCAGCCAGGTCCGCTGAGCATGGGAGCAGACCACCTTTTCCTTCTCTGTTCCGCTCAGCACCTCTGCCTCCTGGTTCCCTCACGGAGCCTGCAAGGGAGTCCGTGAAGCCATATAGAGGAAGGCCTGCTCTTCTTCCCACGCTGGGCTGCTCAGCTCCGGGCTTAGGCCCAGGCTTAGAAAGGTCGCAGGATTCCTCAGGCCCTGGGCAATGCTCCCAGCCTACTCCCGCAAGAGACAAGTTACCACTGTCACCTCTGGACCCAGGAGCAAGTGCCTCAGACATCCCAGGCCGTGGCTTCCGGAAGGGTCCCCACACTGGGCACCTTGTGCTTGGGTCTCCATATTGAAATTAATTGAAAAATACGTTTCCGACCTACAAAAATGTTTATCTGTTTTCATCAGAGGGATCACACTGTAATGAATATATTTACATCTCATTTCAAGAAAGGCAGCAAAGATCGGTGAGCGCTTGGAGCCAGCTCGTCTCCCCTCCCCCTCCACGCTGGGCTGCAGCCTACCCCACCCCAAGCCCCACATTCCCTGATCCGGCAGCCCTAGAGGGCTCTCCGAGACTTTCTGGGAGGCAGTCAGGAGTTAAATATGATCTCTTTCCTTGCCCAACTGGCCTTGGGTGCTCACTCTGCAGGGAAGTCAACCTGGGCCCAAAGACATTGCCCCTGGGTATAGTGCAAAGGATGAGGCCCAGGGTGGGATGGGACCCATGTGAGGGCAGGAAGGCACCACACACTGTACCCGCCCTGCCTCCCTGAGGCTCAGGCCGGGTGGCAGGTGGACCTGTGGGGGTTTCTCCACAGAGAGTGTGGCATTGCCCAACCCCCGCTGCCCTGCACCTAGAATATTAAAACCTCAGGTGGCTTGGAGTTTGTTAATACATTTTTAAAGGAGTGGGGGAACCTGGAGATTTCTAGACAGCAAATGAAAGCAGAACTTTGTCAATGACTTCTGAAAATGAAGCTCTTGCCCCATCCAAGGCCTGTTTGGGGGTGAGGGGTGGAGGAGGAAGTAAGAGGTGTTATTTCAAAAGATCTGGCTTTATTAATACGTTTGGAAAAAAGCTCCCTTGGTAGTATGTGTTCTCACAGTGCCGACTAGAACCCTATAAAACATTCATGCTCCAAAAGCTGCAAGAGAGCAGCCCCCCACGCACACCCAAAGAGAGGCCTCAGCAGCAGGTTTCTGCCCTGGAAGGGCCACTAGAGCCCAAACGGTGCTTCTGGAAAGAACCTGCTCTAGCCTAGCACACCAACTCCCAAGTTCCAGGTCCATGCCCATAAGTGTGGGTTGGTGGGGGGGGCTTGCCCTTCACCCAGCTGAGCTTGAGAGCCCTCCAGGGAACCCCTGTCACAGGGTCAGGAGTGAAGGGTAAACCCTAGCCAGCTCTGCAGCGGACCATAAGGGGGAGTAAAGGTAGGTTTGGCAGTGTTGAGGCCCTAATTCTCTCCCAGAGTTGGGGAGAGGCCCATCGTCCAGTTAGAGGCACAAGAGGCTTCTGAGCAGCCCTCCCCTGCCCTCGACCCCCACATCAGCTCTCCATGCCTCTCTGCAGCCTCTCCAGCCAGGCAAGTTCCCACCTGCAGTCACTGAAGCAGGTGGTCCCCAGACTCGACCCCCACTTACAACCAAGCCCACCCCAGCCTCCTGCTTAAGTCCATGCAGGGCACCAACCATCCACAAGGTCATAAGAGCTGCTGGGAGCAACCAAGGTGTGCTGCCCTCTCCCTGCCCACCCCAGCCCACACAGAGCCTGACCCTCTGCATTTACAAAACCAAGGCAGTGGCTTGGTTTTGGGAATTACTTCTAGACAACCTAGTAATGGACCTTAAAAGTTTCCACCCTCACCTCCCCATTCTAATAATAATTGGAGTGGAAATTAATTGGAGGGTTCTCTTGCACTTATGACATCTGTCAAGTAACCAGACACGTGGGTTTTGCTAAATTCTTTTATTTTTTGTTTAAATTTTCACTTCAATTTTAATTCTTGAAGAACAGCCTCGACAACATATATCGCACTCATTATAAGAAGCAAAGGGTTATATCAAAAATTATTAGTATAGAATCACAGGAAATCTGGTTTGGAACCAGAAAAAAATACAAAACAGATATAGATACATAGACACAGGACAATTTTTTTATAATTATTTGGAAAATGTTATTTTCCCCTAATTCTTGTTTCCTTTTTTATGTGCATACGATGTTTAAATTTTACAAAAAAATGAAAATAAAGACTAGTATTTTACAAAATGAATAACAATGTTTGGGGTGTGTGTGTGTGTGTGTGTGTGTTTCTACATAGAATTCAGTCCACTTCCATGTGTGTTGTTTTCTGTACAGAATATATCCACATCCGTCCACAATAAATCCTGGAAGGTCCATTAGTCTCCTTCTGTTTTATTAAAATTCTCATGGTCCTCTCTTCCAATTTTTTTTTTTTTCCTTTTCTCACCAGACACAAGGTCCTTTTTCTTTCCTTTCCAACATGTTCACAGATCTGATCCTAAAGAGAGTCTCTTTTTCTCCTGGTTTGCAGCTCGGGTTGCATTTCTGCAGGGTGGGCTGCTCCTGTCGGCCCGGCCCACCTCCCCCCTGCCCGGCTGCACCCCACAACAGTCGCCTGATGTCCCCGCAGCTTTGGAGTCCATGGCCCCCGCCGGTCCTCTGAGTCTCTAGGGGGATGGGGGCAGGTAGGAAGCGCCCAAGGTCTAGGAGCACTGGATGGACATGTAAGGCCAGTTGAAGCTGCTCCCAGACAGTAACATATCCCGGATGAGAGTTTCGATGGGGGTTTTACCTACCAAACGGACGAAGAAGAGCTGCTCGATGACCGAGGAGGACACGGTACGCAGAGAGGGCAGTCGCAGTAGGAGTTTGCCGAAGCGGCTGGGCTGGTTAGGGTACTGGCTCCTCACATACTCCTCCAGTGCGCACTGGGACTTCTCCTGCAGGCTCTCGATGTGGGCGGCATCCGACAGGCCGCACGCATCTGCCCGTGTGGCCACAGGAAGGACAGAAAAGGGGAGGGGACACACAGGTTAGTGAACAGCAAAGGCACGAACAAGCCATGAGAAATGTGCTTAAGTTGATAAGAGGGGGAAAACGAAATAGAAGGGAAAAGGGAAAAAAAATCCTCCTCTCCATTCCTCCCTAATCCTTCTTCACCATTCCCTCCCCTCAGCCCCCAACACAAATAAAAATAAATCACACCCCCACCAAGCCTAGGGGAGCTGGAGACGGAAGCACACACATGCAGAGGCAGCAACCTCTCTAGTCCCTTTGTTTTTCCTCTTTCACCTTTGGATTAAATAATGTACGATGCTGGAGCCATGTTTGCTGTGCGAAGCAACCTGTCCTCCGCCTGCAGGGGAGCATCTTTCCGCTGTGCTCATTAAAGGGAGGACTTTTGCCCCTGATTTCGGGGTGTTCAGAAGCCCTGAAGAAATACGTAGCCTGGGGGCAGTTCTTGCAGGCTTCTTGGAATCCTCTCTCTCAAACCCAAATGACCCCAGCCAAAATCCTCAAGGAGAACCTAGACTGTCTGGTGAACAAACACCTGGGAGGGGTAAGGAATTGTGGGCTGGCAGTGCGTGGACTCAGATCGAGCCCAAGCTTCAGCAATACAGGATTTGAGACCCACGATCTATGCAAGCAAGAACTCTGCAGCAAATCCTCGGTGAGGGTGTATACTTCTAATCTGTGCTTTAGATCAAGTAATTGAAAATTGGTCACATCTCTGTAAGCTGTATAATAATCAGAAGGAATATGGCTCAGTTACTCCAGGCTGAGGAAAGGAGACATCTTCAACAATCAGACACAAAGCTGGACTGGAGACAGCTGCTGTTGCTGCTTCCAAACTGGGAGTTGGGGAGTCGAAGGTGGGGGGGGGGGATTTGGGGAGATAGGCTTCCTGTTGCAGGACCAAGGGGAAAAGGCACTTACACACAATGACAGCATCTTAAAACCTGTGTGTTTATCTCGTATCAACCAAGGCTCCTCACGGTCTCCTAAAAATATTTCAAGACAGCAGTTTATACTCTATCAACTAACTAAAGGCAAAGAAATGGAAAAGAAGGTGGAATCCAGAGGAATGAAGTGAAAGCTTCCTCTCTTAGTTCAAACGCCCATGTTATTTCTTTATTATATATTAATAATAAATATTTAAAAAACAGGAAGATCACAGAGGAGCCCTTAGCCAGTCAGGAGGTTGACTAGAGATCAAAGGCAGAGTTTGCTAATATATAGATCTGGGAAGAAATTCGTGCATGGCAATGCCCCCAGAAGGACGTTATATAATTGTGAATGGGTAAGTGTGACCCTAAGAAGTCACACCAAACGATTCAAAGTGAAACCCGTGTCTGCTGCGTTTCTGAGATTTATGTCTTTATATTTCAAGAACTGGGATTTACAAAGCATCTGACACCTTCATCTACAAGGCAATAGCCTTGAGCAAAAATACAAATAAAACTAGTGCTAATTCAAGAACTTCTAAGGCAGGTCTCCTTTGACCCTGGATCCAGAATGGGTTCCTCTCAGATGTCTAATTACTCCTGCCAGCCACTCGGGTGCATCCACACTGTCCTGACCTGGGAAGCCAGCGAGAGGCTAGCAGGGCGAGGGCAGGAGCACTCTGGAGCTTCACTGCTTAGAGAGGGGGGCTCTGAGGTCTGCCCTTGGCCTTGCTTGCTAACCTGGCCCTGCTGAGTGGCCACCATGCAGACTCATATTTACATATATCTTGCTTTACATGCATTATCTGCCCATTATGCCACAGGATCCCTTTCAGTGTCAGACAACGCAGTATGAAAAGGACCCACCGATACCCCAGCAGATTTTTTTAAAGACCCATATGGCATCCCCTCAGGTCCGTAAAATATTTATCTGATATTTACATTTAGGGCCCCCAGGGTGCAAGGACACTACCCTTCTCCCAGCTAGGCCACTCCAAGGGAGAGAAGCCCGGGAAGGGCTTGCTTGGGCCCTGTGCTGGCTGCTTGGATTTCTTTCCTCCTTTGAAGGCAGAATGCCTGTAGCGGGGCTTGGCTGCCAGGTGCCAGCCGGCCAGCTCCGTGGCCTCCTTCCAGCAGGAGTCCCACTTCAGGCCTGGATTCCCACTCTAGATATTCATCCCCACTCTGGATATTCCTGCCACAGGAGTCTCCCAACTGTGGACAGATAGTATGAGCTCTCAGATCGATTAGGTGGCTGTGGAAGCAAGGCGAGGTGAGCAGGGGGTGTAATGCAGTACATATTTACATTCCATGGGATAGACCCGAGGTCAGACAAGGAGGTAGAATATACAGAATCCATGCCTCACTTTTTATGTGGTAGTGTCAATGTGGGAACCCTCAATATTTCTTCCATAGTATATGGAAAAGAAATTATGTAAATAAATAACCATTACTGCTCAGGCCCTCCCGGCTTAGTCTTTGTAGTGCAGAGAATGTATTTCATGGTGTGCATTCAAAAGAGTTTAGTGTTCAGGAAATATAGATGTAATCAGCTGCCATAACTAGAAATCAAAGTTATTATTGTGCTGAAAATGGATTTATTGTATTTATGTTAACTAGATGGCTCCTTTCAGAGGAGGTCCCATTTATTTGAGGGAATATTTAGGTGTATGAATTACTGAATTTTTTAAAAAAAGTAAGTTCAGGTCATGACCTAGTCCTTGGATGCTGTCCAGAATATTAAGGATTAAGCATACCATCCGGAGGCCAAATGTGAAAACCACCACAGGGAACCCCCGTGCCAGCTTCAAATACTTAGCCGGAGCAAACCTCGTTGGACAATATGTCTAAAACTGTCTTTTCCATCATTCAAAGTTTGCTTAAAAGTTGGATGACTTTGAGAAGGCTTCCCATGAATTCCCTTCTGGCTAGCAATCAAAACACGTTTAGTCAAAAGTGGAAATGTGTTGTAGGGAGGAGGGGGGTGAATTTACTACTGACAGCTCCATTTCCATGTTCAGATATTCTGTTTGCAATTTTCCAACAAAATAATGTTAGTGTTCACTTCTCAGCCTCCCCTGCACCTTGAAGACGTGGTTCTGAAACTTCTTCGGGAAAACTTTTTAAAAAGGAACAATTTTCACGGGGATGTTTTAGGATGGAAAGTTGAAAGAAAAGCATGAATAATTCCACAAACTTCCCCATGGCCAGCACAGTCCTCGCCTCTCTCTGGGAAAGGGCAGGAGATCAGAAAAGTCAAGGGAGTTCAAAGAACCTTAGTAGGGGACAAGGAAAAGGGAGCAAAGACCTTTCCTGAGAAGACCTCTGTCCAGCTCCAAGTCACATTTCTGCTTCAAGACACCTCACTGGATGAGATTTTAAAACCCCAGCTTCCCCGACACTGGCTTGCTTCCTGATTAATTTGGCTAAAGAGCCGGGGAGTAGAGAGCCAGCCAGGCCCCAGGCCTGCCAGAGCTAAAGCAGCCCCGTTGCTGCTTCCCAGGCTCTTTGTCACTTTTGAAAAACACGTTTCCATCAAGAAGACTTATTAAGATAAAATGCATTCAAACACTGAGGAGGCTATTCAATAAATCTTCCATTTGTTTTAAGGTTTGCACTTTATCCTCTTGCAAAGAATAACTCCCTCTCCCACTAGCAGACCTGCATTTGCACTGAAAGTAAAAGGGGGGCAGTCCAAGTCCACGGCTCTGGCCACCCTGCATACAAATGAGATGTTCTTGTCTAAATAAATTATCTGCTGCTCAGATCGATATTAATACTACATTTGCTACATTACAATATTGTGCAAATTTAAGAGGCATTTTAATACAATGTAAATACGATTCTTCACGCATGAAAGCCAGGAAATATTGATAGATTATACCATTGCTTACTGTTCAACAAGGCCTTGGGAAAGGGGTTTTGCCATCTCTGCTCAGGAATGGTTTTAATTTGGCCTTTGGAGGTCTTGACTCTAGGATAGATTTATTAGGATGGTTTATTTGTTCTCTGAATGGAGGAATTAAAAACAATAGTGCCAATAATGGGAGTAAAACTGCAGCTAACCCTACTCACAGTGGGCAGGGCCCGGGACCCAATCTGAGCAGCTCTGTTCCCCACCAGCCTCCTTTCTGGCTTTGTTTATATTTCCCCCCATTACCTGCTGTCCCGGGTGTTTATATGTTTCCCTCTTTCAGGTTACAATAATAAAAAGCGGGCAGTGTTCTCAGAGGCTCTGACTAGAGCCTTCAAAGGCAACGTTAATGCACTTTCCTGGAAGTTAATTTGAACCATCTATCATAAGAGAAATTGTTAACATGCATGTTACCACCACCTACATTTAATTTGATATTTTTAAGGCACTCTGTTAAATTTCCAGTGTTCGTGTGTTCTGCATGGCTGTGAGATTTATCTCCGGGGCGGGAATCCTCCCATACTTGCGGGTTCTACAGTATTCCTTTTGTTTTTTATCTTTCTTGTTTAGATTGAATCCGTTTTTTACGACCCTCAATAACCTCAGCAACTGCAAACATGAATGGTTTCCGATCAGGGAAAATCAGGCAGCAATAAAGCGGGATTATTTATGATTTATTTGCGCGTATTCTTCTCTTTCCACCTCTGTGTGTGTCTCTCTGTGTCGGGAAACTCATCCAGGGAGCGTGCCACACAGAGGAGAAAGCCACATTCCCACGTTCTCTTCCTTCCCTCTCCTCCCCCAGAAACACTAAACGCTGGCGCACACGCACACACACGCACACACATACACACCGCACACACGCGCGCAGCCAGACAGTTCCCACGCCCCCCCACCCCTTGCACACACACACACACACACACCCACTTGAGGATTCCCTACC